AGAGCTGAGAGCCCCTGGCAGGGCCTGAAGGGGCTCCAGGAGAGCTGGAGAGGGACTGGGGACAAGGCATGGAGGGACAGCACACAGGGAAGGACTTCAAGCTGAAAAAGTTTAGTTGGGATATTGGGCAGGAATTGTTGGCTGGGAGGGTGGGGAGGGACTGGAATGAATTTCCCAGAGAAGCTGTGGCTGCCCCTGGATCCCTGGAAGTGTCCAAGGCCAGGTTGGAGTACCCTGGGCTAGTGGAAGGTGTCCCTGCCCATGGCAGGGGTGGGATGGGATGAGCTTTGAAGGTCTCCACCAACCCAAACCATTCCAGGATTCCCTGATCTTGCCCTGGTTAAAGGGACACGATTCCCACCCTCCTCCTCCACTGATGACACGAGAGGGAGCACAGGAGGAACCTGCTCCAACTGTCCCGGCTCCAACCAACACCTTTCCCTGGGATTTCATGGAGTGAGCAGAGGCAGAACTCTGGGATGGGGGATTGGCAGCGGGAAGCAGCTCTGCATCCAGGGCTTGCCTTTTGATCCACAGCCTCTGAGCCCAGCAGGATTTGTCCTGCCCTGCCCGGGGCTCGTGGCCGTGCCTGGGAATTCGGGGTAGGTGCCGGAGCAAATCCCAAGGGCTGGGATTTGGGAATGAAAAATCAGAATGTTTGCTTTTAGGACAGAGTGAAATGAAACATCCTGACTTTGCCCTTTCCCACGTGCTTCCAGGTTTTATTCCAGATTCAGGTTAAGCCAGGATCAGCCCCAGGACTGATGCTGACATGGGTCTGGGATCCTGGGATTCCCTTGCTGCTGCCAAGGCTGCAGCACCACCAGGATTCTCCAGTTCTTGCTGGCACAGGCACAGGAGAACTTGATCCTCTTTCAGTTAAAGCCATTCCCTGTGTCCTGTCCCTCCATCCCTTGTCCCCAGTCCCTCTCCAGCTCTCCTGGAGCCACTTTAGGCCCTGCCAGGGGCTCTCAGCTCTCCCTGGAGCCTTCTCTTCTCCAGGGGAACCCCCCCAGCTCTCCCAACCATGGCCACAGAGCAGAGGGGCTCCAGCCCTGGCAGCATCTCCGGGGCCTCCTCTGGACTCTCTCCAGCAGCTCCACGTCCTCCTGCTGCTGTTCCCAGGGCTGGGGCAGCTCTGCAGGGGGGTCTCACCCCTTCTGAAGGCTCCAAAGAGTCCCAAGACCTGCCCATCTCACCCTTTCAGAGACCTTTTCTATGTCGGTGCCAGCTCAGTCTCCCACCCCAAATATCCTGTTCCACAGGAAACTCCCTGTGGGATCCAGGAACTCCTCCACCTGCCCTTGCCACGGGTCTCCCAGAGCTCCCAACCCCATCCACAAACCAGCCCAGAGCATCCCAGACAGCCCTGGGAAACAAGGCAGCGTTTTCCAAGCATCCCAAACGTTTAAGCGACAAAATTCCCCCCTCCAGCCTCTGCTGGGATGATATTCCCAGAAAGAAAATTTGCAGGAACCTGCTTTGGAGGCTTTGGGACCTGTTGAGCGAGGACAACAGCCTAGGAGAGGGTTTTGTTCCCTTCCTTTGCCAGGAGAAACAACAATCCCGATCCCCTGGAGCTGGAAGAGGCAGTAGAAGCTCCCGGAACTCCCAGCTTGGCTGGGAACACCACCAAGGAATTTTCAGCAGCTGCCAAAAACTGGGCACATGCCCAGCGAGGGATCTTTCATGTCCTGCAGCCTCTGGACACTTGAAAGCCCGACCTTGTCCCTGGGTGTGGGACCTCCAAAGCCACGGCCCGGAGGGGTTGGGATGGAGCAGCATCCCCCATGGAATGTGCCGGCTGCAGGATCCCACCGGGCTCGTGTCACGGAGCCATCAAAGGCTCCTTCCAAAGCCAGCCCACCCTGCTGCCTTCAATCCCACCCTGGAGCATCCCATGTCCTGGCTTTTTGTAGGACAAACAGAGGGATGTCACGGGAACTGCCCGCAAAGGGATTTTCGGTAAGAGCGCGGGAGGGGATCCCATCAAAAGAGGCAGGAGGTGGCATTTCCAAGGAGGGGAGAAAGGACATCCTGGTTTTCCAAAGGCCACGCTGTTGGCATGGATAAAGCCAAGGGAAGGGCTGGGAGGGTCTGGTAGGGATGGGTTTGACATCCCTGGCACTCGGGGCTGGATCAGGGCTGTCGGCACTCGCTGGGAAAGGCAGGAAAGGATCAGGTTCCAAAGGAGCCAGAGGATCATCCCAAGGATGGGAAAGGCTGGGAGAGCAGAGCAACAGCACATGGAATTTGCAAAGAAGGAGCCAGACTTGCCCCACACAAGGAACAGTGGGAGGCCTGAGCTGGGCAGGCCCTGGTCCGGTTTTTACCTGGGAAATGTGGGATAACCACCAAGGGCCCATATTCCTGCAAGGATCCCATTGGAATTCCACAGGTCAGGGCACCCAGGACCCAGCTCCCTCCCTGGACATCAGCAGGACAACGTGTAGGGATCCCTGTTCCATGCTGGGATCCCTGTTCCATAAGGAAATCACTGTTCCATGCTGAGATCCAAGTCCCACATCAGGATCACAGTCCCACACCAGGATCCCTGTCCCACACTGGGATCACTGCCCTTGTCCAATTCCAGGATCCCTGTCCCACACTGGGATCACTGCCCTTGTCCCATTCCAGGATCCCTGTCCCACACTGGGATCACTGCCCTTGTCCCATTCCAGGATCCCTGTCCCACACCAGGATCCCTGCCCTTGTCCCATTCCAGGATCCCTGTCCCACACTGGGATCACTGCCCTTGTCCCATTCCAGGATCCCTGTCCCACACCAGGATCCCTGCCCTTGTCCCATTCCAGGATCCCTGTCCCACACTGGGATCACTGCCCTTGTCCCATTCCAGGATCCCTGTCCCACACTGGGATGCCATTCCCATGCAGGGACCCCATTCCCATTCCAGGATCCCTGTCCCATACTGACACCCCAATCTTATTCCAGGATACCTATTCCATGCTGGGATCTTCATCCCATGCCAGGATCCCTGTCCCACACCAGGATCCCACTCCCATGCCAAGGATCCCTGTCCCACTCTGGAATCCCTGTCCCACTCTGGGATCCCTGTCCCAGTCTGGGATCCCTGTCCCACTGGGATCAACGTCCCACTCTGGAATCCCTGTCCCAGTCTGGAATCCCTGTCCCACCCTGGGATCCCTGTCCCACTGGAATCCCTGTCCCACCCTGGAATCCCTGTCCCACCCCGGAATCCCTGTCCCACTGGGATCCCTGTCCCACCCTGGAATCCCTGTCCCACCCCGGAATCCCTGTCCCACTGGGATCAATATCCCACTCTGGGATGTGTCCCATTCTAGGATCCCTGTCCCACACTGGGACTCCCATCCCATGACAGGATCCCACTCCCATCCTGGGATCCCTATCCCATTCCAGGATCCCATTCCCATTCCAGGACTCCAGTCCCACATCAGCATCAGTCCAGGGGCCTGGGGCTGATCCCGGCTTAACTTGAGTCTGGAATAAAACCTGGAATCACATGGGAAAGGGCAAAGTCAGGATGTTCCATTTCACTTTGTCCTAAAAGCAAATATCCTGATTTTTCATTCCCAAACAACACTTCCAGGGAGAGCTGAAAGAGGGACAATTATTCTTCCAAGGACTGGGAAAAGCTGGGCCTGAATCCAGAGGCAGTTTGAAAGGAGTTTTTTTCCCTTTAAAGTCAACGAGGGAAAACTCTTCTGGGTCAGACAGGGAGGGAAGGGCAGTGGGAGGGATGGAGGGAGGGAGGGAGAGAGGGAGGGATGGAGGGATGGATGGAAGGAGAGATGGAGGGAAGGATGAAAAGCCTGGCTTTCCAGAGCCCAGCCTTTGGGAACAGCTGGACAGGGCCCAGCTTTGTGCATGGAGTTCTGCTGACATCTACAGGGCATCCCAGGGATGAGGCCACAGCTCCAGGAGGGACTGAGTTCATGGAATTAGAGAATCCCAGGATGCTTTAGATTGGAAGGGGCCTTAAAGCCCACCCAGTGCCACCCCTGCCATGGGCAGGGACACCTTCCACTAGACCAGGTTGCTCCAAGCCCCATCCAACCTGGCCTTGGACACTTCCAGGGATCCAGGGGCAGCCACAGCTTCTCTGGGAAATTTATTCCAGGCCCTCCCCACCCTCCCAGCCAGGAATTCCTTCCCAATATCCCAGTTAAACCTACTCTGTGTCAGTCTGAAGGATCAGTCCATCCCAGGAACCTGGCACAGGAAACCTGGATCACATCTGGATCATCCCATCCCCGACCTGCTGCAGCCACAGCTTGGCCACCTCAAACTTCCATGAGCTGAATCCCACTGCTCTGTGTCCCAGGAAAGGGAGGGGACAAGGCCTGAGGTCTCCATGGACAGGAGAGGGATGAGGTGCCTCTTCCAGAAGCGACAACTTCTTCCAGCATGGAATTTTTTATTAGGAAAAGATCCATTAACAACAAACTTCATCAACTAAAAAACACTCAGAGGAGGAGTGGAACACTCCAGAGGGTTGGGAAATTTTGGGAAGCAAGGCAAATCCCACGCTAAACTCAGCTGGATGCAGAGCAGCCAACGGGTCCTGAACCAACACCCCCTTCCCAGGGGAATTCTGGGTGAGGCCATGGATGTTCCCGGCTCTGCAGGGAGAGCTCGTTGTGTCTGCACAGGAACAGGAGCCCCAATCCCTTGGGAAAAGGTCCTGCCTCTCCAAGGGCCACGTGGGCATCTCCCTCCTTTCCCAGCAAGAGGACAGTGAGTCTGGATTGACCTTGACTGGAGTTTTTCCCACTTTTCCCTGCTCCAGGGAAGGTGAGTTCCAGCCCAGGTGGGCGTGCCCCGCTCCCCTCGATCCCAGGAAGTTTGCCAGGAATGTTCCTCAGCGGCCAGCCGGGCTCCTGGGATCTGCCCCTCCCCTCCAGGCACGGCAGGATTTGGGAACTCCTGGGAAAGGGCCGAGTGTGTCCCGGGGGTCACCCCGAGGGAACGGGGCGGGAGCTGGAGCCGGGTCTGACGGATCCCTCAGTCGGAGTCGGATCCCTCCTGCTTTGCTGATCCCACGGCAGACGCCAACTCCTCCTCCTGCCCCTTCAGCCTCTCTCCTGCAGGGATCAGGATGCGCTGCTGGGAATGGGAAGTGACCCCGGGGAGGGGCTGCCCCGCTCCCCCAGCCC